GTATGTAAAAAAAAAATCATAACAAAACAATTTTTTTTTAAATTTCTTCATTTTCCAAAAAATTGTGACAGAAAATGACAGCTTCAAAAAACTTGCCATGCCTTTTTTATCCCACATTTGGGACCTACTGTCCTTCCTTTTTTGGGCCTCAAGAAATGAAATAGGCCAACAGTACATCAGGATTGGTCAATTTTCATGTATATATATATATATACCATAGTTTGTGGACTCTATAAGTTTCCTACTGATATACGAAAGAAATGTGGCATTGTGACCTAAATTTATGACGAAAGATTATTTATTTGTAAAATTTAAAACGTAAACAAAGAAAAACACGTTGATTTTTCATTTATTTTGTAAAAAGTAAAAAAAAAAAAATCCTGTGGGGATTAAATACCACCAAAATAAAACTTTATTTGTGTGAAATAAATTATAAAAATTTCATTTGGGCACAATGAGGCATGACCACGCAATTGTCAATCAAAGTGTGACAGCGTTGAAAGCTGAAAATTGGCCTGGGCAGGAAAGGGGTAAAAATGCCTAGTATTGAAGTGGTTAATAAAGAGGCGGAGTAGGCCTTAGGATAGGGCAGTAATCTTTGCTGCTGCCTGCCCTTCCCCCTGATTGTACAGTTCCCCCCTCAATTTGCTGCTGCCTGCCCTTCCCCCTGATTGTATAGTTTCCCCCCTCAATTTGTTGCTGCCTGACCTTCCCTCTGTGATATGGAAGGGTGGGCAGTTTATGGCCAAAGATTTTCCTCCTGAAGCTTTGCCTCAAGACATCATCAGAAATGTGACAAAGATGGCCCTAGAAGCCGACTTTCCTCCTCACTCCAGTACCCAAACCCGACTCCTCCTGCTCACCTCCAGCACCTTGTGGTCCTCCTCCGCTTCGCTGCTGCCTCGTGGTATTCCATATGCTATTGATAGACAGGTATGGCCTTTTGTGCTGTTGAATGGCCTTCTGGATGAAATATTGCTAGCTGAGTACCTGACAATGCAGTGCAGCAGAAAACACACCCAACCAGGGTGCTTGGTAAAGCCACCATGAAGAAGCTGAGCATGGGGGTCATTTGTTGAATTTTTTTTTTCTTCTGCTCCAGCACTGCAGATGTCTGTGGATTGGCCCTGGGAATAGCAGTGAAAATGTTTCGCAGACTCCTCATAGCCAGTTGGCGAACCTATGAAGGGATTGCCTGAAGTGTAGCAGGAAAAGAGGACATGAGCAGCAGTAGAAAGGCAAGTGGCTGTTCTGTGCCCTTGAGAAGGAGGACGACGAAAAAAGGTGCATGAGTAGCACTGTACAAAAATAAATGGCAGCTCTGTATCCTTGAGGAGGAGAAGGATAAGCAAAAAAGAAAACAAAAAGGAATGTGTTTCAAACCTCAGCAGATGTATGGCAGTCTAAAAGGAGATTGTGGAAGAGGAGGAGGAAAAGGGCACATTAGCAGAACATACAAAAGTGGCTGCTATGAGCTCTTGCGGAGAAGGAAAAAAGTCTAAACTGAAGCAGAAACTCTGTGCCCTTAAGGAGCGGGAGGAAAAGGATCCATGAGCAGAACTAGAAAGGAAAGTGGATGCTTTTTGCCCTGGGGAAGGAAAGGGGCACATTAACAGTGATTGCAGGAAAGTGGCTGCTCTGTACCCGAGAGAGGAGTAAGAAGACTCCCTAGGGCCTCTCCTAACTTTTTGATATGTGAAACCTCGAATGAAGATTTGATGAAGGGCAGGTGGCTTATGGCCATAGGATGAAACAATTAACATTTTACTGCTGCCTTCCTTTCCCTCTGGCCATAGAATTTCCCAGCTCTATGTGCTGCTGTCTGCCCTGCCGTGTGAAAGAGCGGGCAGCCTTTTTATTTTTTTCATCAGGACAATATGCGACTTGAACCTAGGACTTCTCTTTGTTTTAAAGGTAGTATCCATTTTGCAATGCCATCCCTGCCCATGTTTGGGAAGGGATGGCCTTACAAGGGAAAACAGAAATGTAAATAGAAATTAAATACAGTATACCTGCCATTGAATTGAGCAATTCACTTGCAAAGTAAGTTTGATTGAACTGTATTGTGGCTGTATTGTCTCCCTTCATATTGTAAAGCGTTGAGCAAATTGTTGGCGTTATATAAATCCTGTATAATAATAATAATTATAAAGTATTGATATGAAAACAGCCATCAGATATCTGTCTCACTTCACTGGTATTTTTTTTTTATGCCTACTGAAATAGGTGACGTTGAGTATAAAAATGTTTCTTGTACACCTGGTTGACAAGAAATAAAAATCCAGTTGAACAATTGCTATGGGAGAATTTGATGTTTCCCAGCGGGGAATTCCACAACACTCCTCCTCACGGCCAGCAGCTGCACACCCCGTTTCCTATGGAAGGAATAGCAGAAGAGGAGTAGATAAAGGGTACAGTAGCAGTTCTAAAAAAAAAAAAAATGGCTGCTAGGCACCATTAAGGTGGAGGAGGAAAAGAGCACATTAGCAGAACCCTAAAGTAAAGTAGCAGCTTTGTGCTCTTGATTAGAAGTACATGCCTTTTGTTACCGAGTTTCTTCATTGAGGTGCTGCCCCAACTGAGATCTGTGGTGCAGAATCATGTGTTTTCTCACACATGCGGTGCCCAAATGGCTGGTACTTGTACCATGGCTGGTGCACTGCAGACAGATCCTGCAGACCAAAATGGTGCTGTTAGCAGCAGACATGTTTAAAAAGCCACACTACAGAGTCCCTCTATTTTCTGCCTGTTCAAGTGTTCATGGTATGTCCCGATGCTAGACATTTTCTTCCAAACACATACCTAAATTCTATATTGTGAATCTCTGGGAAAAATTGGGGATACTGGATTGGAAAGGGTAATGCACTAGATATTAATATTTTTTTTACTTCGAGGTGCGTTTTGGATGAAATAGGAGTCAATCCTTTTATTGGATGAAAAGAGTGGAACATTTTGGGATCTTTGTGGACACTATTTTGGACTTTCTTTTTGGACATCTTTTTGATCAGTTGGACTTCATTGTATATTATATGTTTAAAATTAATTAATTTATTTATTTTATTTAATTTATTTTTGTAATTCACAAAAAGGTTTTATATGGATTGGAAAGGGGTTCGGAGAATGTGGTGTTGTGGCTCTGAAGGGATTTTGTGCACTCTGGATTGATATTTTAGTAAGCTTTTAGGACAGTGCAGTGTTGTACTGCAAAAAAAAGGAGTCAACAAGTTATAATAGTAAACATGTTTTTTAAGGGTAAACGTCCCAATTGGTTATAGCTTTGTTGTGGCTCCTGCTTACACCATTCAACTCTGACCTATTATCCCGTATTAAAAGAAAAAAATCAGGTGTCACAACCAGAACTATCTTAAAAGAGAAGTATGGTCAAAACTTTTTCGGTTATACATCTCTTGTGGGTCACAAGAGTGCACTTAACTTTGCTGTCCTGTGACCCAGAACCAGCCGAGAGCAGGTTACAGTCAACCGTCAGCTGATGTCACAAAGCTGATCCAGGTTCTGGAAGGATCCCAACTAAATGGTCAGGATGCACCCAGCTGCCTGATTGACGGGTGGCTCCACCTCTCAGTACATGGCTGAGAGAAGAAGCCAGCTGCACCTGCCCCCTCTCCGGTACGTCGCTCTGGTGAGTTCTGGAGGGGCAGACCGAAAGCAGTAACTGACAGTCACTGCTCTCTGCTTCACAAAGAACTGAGCGATCAGTGGTCATGTTTGGTGCCTAGTGAGCCGTGTGGGGGACACTTGCAGCATCAGACCAATGCTAAAGCATGGAGGTGAGTATGTATGTCTGTTTTTGTTTTTTTTAAAAACCCCATACATCTCCTTTAAAAAGTATTTTTTCAAGTTGTAATGAATCAGATTAGGTACTGCTGCTGTACTTAAGCCAAACAACAATGAAAAGGTTAAAAAAAATCAATTACACAACCAAAATATGTGATGTTATCAGTGAGAATTGTTCTGTTCCATACAACCAAATACAGCTTAAAGACATTTCCAAAGTACAGGTGAAACTCAAAAAATTAGAATATTGTGCAAAAGTTCATTTATTTCAGTAATGCAACTTAAAAGGTGAAACTAATATATGAGAGAGATTCATTACATGCAAAGCAAGATAGTTCAAGCCGTGATTTGTCATCATTGTGATGATTATGGCTTCCAGCTCATGAAAACCCCAAATCCACAATCTCAGAAAATTAGAATATTACATGCAATCAATAAAACAAGGATTGTACATAGAACAATATCGGACCTCTGAAAAGTAGAAGCATGTATATGTACTCAGTACTTGGTTTGGGCCCCTTTTGCAGCAATTACTGCCTCAATGCGGCGTGGCATGGAAACTATCAGCCTGTGGCACTGCTGAGGTGTTATGGAAGACCAGGATGCTTCAATAGGGCCTTCAGCTCTTCTGCATTGTTCGGTCTCATGTCTCTCATCTTTGTCTTGGCAATGCCCCATAGATTGTCTATGGGGTTCAGGTCAGGCGAGTTTGCTGGCCAATCAAGCACAGTAATCCCACGGTCATTGAACCAGGTTTTGGTGCTTTTGGCAGTGTGGGCAGGTGCCAAGTCCTGCTGGAAAATGAAGTCAGCATCCCCATAAAGCTCTTCTGCGAAAGGAAGCATGATGTGCTCCAAAATCTCCTGGTAGACGTTTGGTTTTAATTTTGCAATGTTTGGACTTCATTCTGGGTTCGATAAATTCCCCCGAAAATGGAACTTGGACACATACTCTCATTCCTAATGGAGAAACATTTTGTTATATTTTCCTTTCAGAAGACAATGGTATACTGTATCTCTCTGGGCCCTTCTTCTTCTACCTAGAAGCAGGACTTCTTTCTTATTAAATTGGGTAAAATGTGCTCTAAAAAATATGAATCATATATGCTGTAGTTGTTAAATGCTCCGAATGCTTGTTGATTGGCTTTCATGTTTAGCCTTTTTGCTTTATTCATTTGACACCCTGACCCAGAACAAGCATACTTATAAGGACATCCAACTTTTTTTCCCCAACTTCAGATTTCCTGCTCTGCATACTTGTTCTTTATAATGACTTAGTATTAACCACTTCCTGTCCGGCCCATGTATATAAACGGCCGGACGGGAGCAGTGCAGAAGCGGGTTGCCATTCATAAACAACGCCCACCATTTTAGCCTGTGCTCGCTCCCTGGGATCTCTGCCCGATCGCTGTATGGGACCTCTGTGTGAGGTCCCGATCATGTGATCACTGATTGGCTAATCAGTGATCACATGCATAGTAGTAAGCAAGATGTCACTTCTGACATCATTGCTTACTACGTGTGAAATCTGTGAATGATCACAGAGGTCACATGGTACAAGGCTATTCACAACAGCCTTGTACCATGTGATAAGCTGTTACCAATCACAGCTCTCACAGTATTTCTTAATGTCTGCAAGAATGCAGCCAGAGAGAAGGAGAAATGATTGCTTTTACAGCCTTTATGGGTGTAAAAGCAATCAGTGTAAAAAAAAAAAAAAAAAAATCTTCATCACTATGGTGACACTGTACTGCTAGGATGACAGTATGTTTAAAAAAAAAAAACATAAATAATAATTAAAAAAATAATAATTTAAAAACATTTTTTGAAAAATTATAATTTTTGGTTATAAATTAATTTGGGGTTTTTTTTAACTAAAAAGATAACTGAATACATTTTGGCCAAGATTTATGAAGAAAGATTATTTATTTGCAAAACTGTATAAGAAAAACACTTTTTTTCAACATTTTTGGACTTTTTCGTTTATATAGCAAAAAAAAAAAAAAATCGCAGTGTTGAATAAATACCACCAAAATAATGTTTTATCTGTCTCAAAAAAATGCTAAAAAATTAATATGGGTACAGTGTTGCATGACCGTGCAATTGTCATTCAAAGTGTGATAGCACTGAAAGATGAAAATTGGCCTGGACAGGAAGGGGGTAAAAGTGTCCGGACAGGACGTGGTTAAACTACAAATTACAAAACTCCTCGGTATAAATGGGGCTCTAGGACTTACTACCATCAGCAACCACACAAGGCTGCTACTGTGCATTGCGAAGAAATAGTGCAAATAGAGACATCAAAGCGAGTGCGGAGTGTCCGGACTGGAAGGGGGGAAAAGTGTCCGGACTTGAAGTGGTTAAAGCTAGTGGGTTAGCATAACTACCAGGCTGTCAGCATTTTGTAGAGTGGTCAGCAATAGCAGGTCCTTTATTTCTCTTTATGCAAGGTTCAATACTAGTCTGAAGCTCAGAAGTGTCTACATTTTGACCATTTAGAATGGTTGGCATTCAGCTGTACCAGAGGTGAATGGTACCAGTATTTGCAGGCTCCTCCAGAAGCCTGCATTGTATCACTGCTGTCTACACTCTTTATCAGACAACAGTTCTCTTTTTTAAAGTAACATACTTTATTTTTTAAAGGAACAAAATATTGGATATGTTGAAAGCAAATATCCAAAATTGCTTACAGGATAATGACCTACCATATATTTAACCACTTCCAGTCCGGACACTTTTACCCCCTTCCTGACCAGGGCAATTTTCAGCTGTCAGCGTTTATCACACTTTGAATCACAATTGCGCGGTCATGCAACACTGTACCCATATGAATTTTTTACCATTTTTTTGAGACAGATAAAACTTTATTTTGGTGGTATTTATTGACTACTGGGATTTTTATTTGTTTTACTATGTAAATGAAAATGTCCAAAAATTAAAAAAAAAGTGTTTTTCTTATAAAATTTTGCAAATAAATAATATTTCATCATAAATCTTGGCCAAAATGTATTCTGTTATCTTTTTAGAAAAAAAAAAAAAATTACCCAAATTAGTTTATAACCAAAAATTATAATTTTTTTTTACATTTTTATTTTTTTTTATATCACTATTTATTTTATTATTTATTTATTTTTTACATACTGTCACCCTAGCAGTACAGTGTCACCATGGTGACACTATACTACTTGTGGGGGGTGATGAAGATTTTTTTTTTTTTACACTGATTGCTTTAACACCCATATAGGATGTAAAAGCAATAATTTCTCTTTCTCTCTGTCCGCATTCTTGCAGCCGTTGAGAACTACTGACTGAGCTGTGATTGGTCACAGCTTTGTCACATGGTACAAGGCTGTTGTGAATATCCTTGTACCATGTGACCTCTGTGATCATTCACAGATTTCACAGGTAGTAAGCAATGATGTCGCAAGTGACATCTTGCTTACTACTTTGCATGTGATCACTGATTGGCCAATCAGTGATCACATGATCGGGACCTCGTATAGAGGTCCCGTCCGACGATCAGTGTTTCACTGTGTCCGGAGGACACAGCGGGCACCGGATCGCGGTGCTGTGCGCTCCCGGGGAGCACGCACAAGCAGGGTGCGGGGAGGCCGTTTGTAAACGGCCACCCGACCCTGCAGTGCCACCGTCTGGCCGTTTATATACAACGGCCGGTCGGGAAGTGGTTAAGGACTGAAATTCCAAACTAGTTTTTAAAATATGTTTTAGGGGTTTACACACTGTAAGATATACAAAAACATTACAATAACTATTACTAGGAACCTGTACCTACAGAATCAGAGCTGGCCATACACAGGTTACATTTTCAAAACCTCCTGCTCTTTTTTTATGATACCCAAAGACTGCTCCTGCTACAAGACACAAAAAGTGTTTCAAGATAAATAAGATATGTGGAGAGAAGTCACCATGGTGTTGGCGAGGGTGTGGAGAAGTGGGGACAGTGTATCACATCTGGAGGGAATGTCCAAAAATTCAGGTATTCTGGAAACAATAGTACATTTAATTGAGGTCATAACTGAGATAAATATTGGGTTAGACCCAGGGATTTGTCTGCTACATAGTTCAGAGATGTCAGTTAGCAAATATAGGAATTTAGGTTTAGGGTATTATCTAAATGCCGCAAAAAGTTTGATCCCTAAGTATTGGAGAAAAACAGAAGTACCGAAAGAGGAGGATTGGATAGAAAGAATAAACTGGATTAGTAAAATGGAGAAGTTCTTCTATTTGCAGGAAGATAAGATGGAGATATACTATGCGAAATGGGAAAAATCTGGAGTAAACGCAAATAAGTGAAATGTAGAAGGATATAGAGAGGGTGGAAGGGTAGGATACACTTGCTATAGAAGAGAGATCGGGAAAGAATGCGGAGTGGGTGGTGGGGGGAGAGGGATATGTGTTAAGAGGGAAAAGAAAGGTAATAAGAAATAGTTATGTATATTTATTGTGAATATGATGAAAGTGTTTGTAATTACTGTGAAAAAATTAATAAATATTTAAATTAAAAAAAAAAAAAGTGTTTCAAGATAAGTGCACAAAACTCCAATACGGTTGCATAGAGTGCTGTAAAAAAAAAATCACATTTCACAGCGCTGTGCCCCATATTGGGGTTTTGTTTACTGTTTGAATTTTGGCTAGTTTCTAATTAGCTGGCCAAATTTCACTTACTGGGTGGCCTTGTTGGCCCACTCCTGTCTTGCTTCCTTCAATTGAAAAATTGCCAGTTGGAAACAATTGTTGGCACTCAGATGCCACTCCTGTTCAGGTATTCTAGCAGTCGCGGACAGCTATCAGAATACAATAGCCCAGCAGGGGAATTTGTCCATTCGCACTGTTGGCTGCAGGCTGATCGAAAAAAGATAAGATATTATATGGCCAGTCATTTTGATTCATCGAGATTGAGTGATTCCACATCGTTATCTTCTGTGTTATCTCTCCATTTTACCCAGTTAGAAATCAGCTTCCCTTTATGGAACGAGCTTCCTGCATTTTATGTATAGTACATAAGTACAGTATCATTACAACTCATACATTTACAGCTCAGAGATATGGATTTCAACACAGTTCTGTCACAAACCTCAGTGAAGGATGGCTCACTGAGATAAGAATATTTTCTAGACCAGGGGTGGGCAAACTTTTTGACTTGAGGGCCGCAATGGGTTCATATATTGGACCCGGGGGCCGGACCAAGAGTAGATGAATGATGTGTATGTGTCATCCATAGTAAGTATAGTAATATTCCCCCATAGTAAGCATAGTAATTCATCCCCCATATAGTAATTCATCCCCCATAGTAATTCATCCTCCATAGTAATTCATCCCCCATATAGTAATTCATCCCCCATAGTAATTCATCCCCCATATAGTAATTCATCCCCCATGGTAATTCATCCCCCATAGTAATTCATCCCCCATATAGTAATTCATCCCCCATAGTAATTCATCCCCCATATAGTAATTCATCCCCCATATAGTAATTCATCCCCCATAGTAATTCATCCCCCATATAGTAATTTATTCCCCATAGTAATTAATCCCCCATATAGTAATTCATCCCCCATATAGTAATTCATCCCCCATATAGTAATTCATCCCCCCTATAGTAATTAATCCCCCATAGTAATTCATCCCCTATATAGTAATTCATCCCCCCTATAGTAATTAATCCCCCATAGTAATTCATCCCCCATATAGTAATTCACCCCCCCATATAGTAATTCACCTCCCCTATAGTAATGCATCCCCCTATAGTATAGTAATTCATTCCCCATAGTAATTCATCCCCCATAGTAATTCATCCCCCCCAGTAATTCATCCCCCCTATAGTAATTCATCCCCCATATAGTAATTCATCCCCCCTATAGTAATTCATCCCCCCTATAGTAATTCACCCCCCCTAAGTTCATCCCCCATATTAAGTCCCCAAGTCCCCCCTGTGTCAATTCACTTACCTTTGCTCCGCGCGTTCCTCTCGCCGTGTTCCCGCGTCGTTCCGTTGTAGCATGAAAATCTGTCTCCTATGAGGATCTGTCCCCCTCGACGTATCTGCGCATGTGCCAGTTTCAGGCATTAGAAGCCGATCGGCGATCTCCGGCACATGCGCAGATATGTCGAGGGGGACAGATCCTCATAGGAGACAGATTTTCACGCTACACCGGTCTTCAGGGCGGACTGTGAGAGGAGCCTAGCTCCCCTCACGTTCGTCACGCTGCCCCGCCTACACACATCCTGACAGCCATCCTGACAGTATCACGCTCCGCGGGCCGGATTAAAAGGTCCACCGGGCCGTATACGGCCCGAGGGCCGTAGTTTGCCCATTGCTGTTCTAGACCTTAAATCATCTGTGAATATATGATCCATCCTTCACTCTTCCAGTAATCAAGTGTTGGAAGGCACCGTGATGTCAGCATGCAGAAAACGTCAGGAAGTGGCTAGCACCTAAATATACATTACTGTGCTGCCGTAATTGCATTGCCCAGAAGGCAGTTTTAACTTTTTATTTTTTCATGAAAATGTCTCAGTAAGTACTAGTATGCCAGCTACACTACATCAAAGAAAGGCTTATATTTTTATATGAATTACATAGTTACATAGTTAGTCTGGCTGAAAAAAGACAAAAGTCCATCCAGTTCAACCATAAAAAAAAAGTTATGATCCTACACCCACAGTTGATCCAGAGGAAGGCAAAAAAACTAGCAAAGCATGATAAAATTTGCTCCTGCAGGGAAAAAAATTCCTTCCTGATCCCCGAAAGGCAATTCGATATTCCCTGGATCAACTTTACCTATAAATGTTAGTATCCAGTTATATTCTGTGTATCCAAGAAAGAATCCAGGACTTTTTTTTAAACAATCCACTCAGCTGGCCAGAACCAACTCTTGAGGGAGTCTATTCCATATTTTCACAGCTTTCACTGTGAAGAAACCTTTCCGTGTTTGCAGATTACATTTCTTTTCCTCCAGATGTAAAGAGCGCCCCCTTGTCCTCTGTGATGACCTCAGGGGGAATAACTCTACACCGAGTTCACTATATGAACCACTGATGTATTTATATGTGAATTGCAACCAGGATACTTGGAGTTATTACTAAAACTTGTGGAATTAATACACTATTATTGTTTAAAATACTAAAAAATTACTACCAATTTATGGGGCTGTTTTATCCCAAGTGGCTACTTGCTTTCCTTTTCTGCTCTTAGTCTATGTATATACCACAAAGAAACAAAAAGCAGCTGCAAAGAGCAGGCTACTGAAGGAGGTAATAACTCACCCAAGCAGAGTAGCTCGCGTGATAAAACAATACTTTATTGATTTCTTGATAAAAAAAGTGAAATCTTTCAACAGTGAAAATCTTACACAACCACCTTAAAACACCATATAAACACAAAACAATCTGGATTGTGTAGCGCCAATGATATCTATTAACCACTTGCCGTCCGCCTGCTGTTTATAAACGGCAGGACGGTGGCACTCCAGGGGCGCGCTGCTGTTCATAAACGGCACCCGCCATTTCTAGCTGTGCGCGCTCCCTGGGAGCGTGCAGCACCGCAATTTGGTGCCCGCTGTGTCCTCCGGACACAGTGAAATACTGATTGTCGGACGGGACCTCTATACGAGGTCCCGATCATGTGATCACTGCTTGGCCAATCAGTGATCACATGCAAAGTAGTAAGCAAGATGTCACTTGTGACATCATTGCTTACTACGTGTGAAATCTGTGAATGATCACAGAGGTCACATGGTACAAGGCTATTCACAACAGCCTTGTACCATGTGACAAGCTGTGACCAATCACAGCTCACTCAGTAATTCTCAATGGCTGCAAGAATGCAGACACAGAGAAAGAGAAATGATTGCTTTTACATCCTATATGGGTGCAAAAGCAATCACTGTAAAAAAAAAATAAAAAATCTTCATCATCCCCCCACAAGTAGTACAGTGTCACCATGGTGACACTGTACTGCTAGGGTGACAGTATGTAAAAAAAAAAAAAAAAAAAAAAAAAATCTAAAAAAAAAATAAAATAAAAATGGAAATGGAATTTTTGGTTATAAACTAATTTGGCTTATTTTTTTTTTACTAAAAATATAACGGAATACATTTTGGCCAAGATTTATGATGAAAGATTATTTATTTGCAAAATTTTATAAGAAAAACACTTTTTTTCAAAATTTTTGGACTTTTTCATTTACATAGCAAAAAAAAAATAAAAATCCCAGCGGTGAATAAATACCACCAAAATAAAGCTTTATCTGTCTCAAAAAAATGGTAAAAAATTCATATGGGTACAGTGTTGCATGACCGCGCAATTGTCATTCAAAGTGTGATAGCGCTGAAAGCTGAAAATTGCCCTGGACAGGAAGGGGGTAAAAGTGTCCGGACTGGAAGGGGGGGAAAGTGTCCGGACAGGAAGTGGTTAAATAACAATGAGGTATATAGACAGCAGACAATGAAAGTTCCCAATTGGGGGATCAAATGTGCAATAACGACAATGAATCTCTCCAAGTAAG